TGTCAACAACAAATCTATAACCAACACATTTTTCACAAAGATAGAAATCCTGGTTTTATTCCTTGTATTGTTGTTAATGATTTAAGAATCATAACGAGATCTTTTTTAGTTCTGCGCCACATGGTACTTTACCAGTGAGATTAGCTCCACGCGGTGAGTTCTGGCGCCCGGATCACAGACTTTCTGATTGGTGAAACGGTGGAGGGCGGGACATCGAAATGAAAACAACAACAAGATTTAGGCGCTGGAAAAGTAATTTAGAAATGCAAATATCTCTGAACGACTGTTATCAGTTAAAGAAGTATTGGAAAAGAACATGTTTTATTAATGCCTTTGGACAGATTAGGGCCCTTTAATGATGACAGATTAGGGCCCTTTAATGATGACAGATTAGGGCCTTTAATGATGACAGATTAGGACCCTTTAATGATGACAGATTAGGGCCCTTTAATGACGACAGATTAGGGTCTTTAATGATGACAGATTAGGGCCCTTTAATGATGACAGATTAGGGCCCTTTAATGACGACAGATTAGGGCCCTTTAATGATGACATCACATGAACATCTTACATATTGCTACTTTAATATTTGATCCTTTTCTGACAGTTAGACCCCAGCTTTAACCTCTCAGTACATTCTTGGGTCTTTCCCCTTTGCGCTTGAAATTGTGAGAACTTCTTTATCAACAAAACAATCCTTCCCCTTTTGACATGAACTGGTGAAAGTAGAAAATACAGTTCATTGGATTCACATTGTTTTTCATTGTTGTAAATATTTAGTTTTTTCTCAGGACGCACATAAAAATCAAAAGTCTTGAGCTGAGAATTTACACATTCTGCACACACCTGTCCTTTGTGTTTTCACTCTGAAGCTTCCGTGAAAGTGTGAGAATGGACTCCGGCGGCGGGTCTGGGCCAGAACAATGTGAGTCCGTGTGTGGGAACGCCCGGCTCTGATCCAACACATCTAAAAACTCACAATAGTTATTCTCCTCGGAGCGTCTTCCCTTTGTCCCGCCGCAAAACATGGTGCGAAACATCTGGGACTAGCAAGGTCGCACCAGCAACAGGATCACAACCAGAAATAACACAGTCCAGGCTCAGCAGGAAGAGAGAGAGGGAGGCTGGGAGTTTACATATTGTATATAAACAGATATTTTCTCTCACAATATTATATTATTATTATTTTCAGATTTCTACTTTAATGTTATATTCATTTTTTTTTTTATCATGGATCAATAAAGTCTGTCTAAGTCTACTTTATTTTTTTGCCTTTAGAGTTTGGTTGATCAACATTTCTGAATTCAAAAAAATAACAAGGCCACATTTATGATGCAACGGAAAAGATTACACAAACATAATAACAACAATTAAAGCATAAATAAATACATGGGCAGCACGGTGGCTGCGTGGGTTCGAATCCCGGTCGGAACAGGGCCTTTCTGAGTGGAGTTTGCATGTTCTCCCCATGTCTGCGTAGGTTTCCTCCGGGTGCTCCAGGTTTCCCCTACAACTAAAAACATGTACAATAGTTCTGACATGTGCCTCCTGTACTGGCCCCGCCCCCATCTCTGGGTGGAGTGAGAGACTAATGCCCACAATTGTACAAAGATTTTTTTTTTTTTAAAGTATACATAATAATAATAAAGTATATATAAAGCAGAATAAAAATAAATGGATAAATCAGTGGAATTAGCGGCCATTTTGAATTCGCTGGAAAAGGCAGAAAGCCCTGACTATCTCTGACACGGTTGTTTATTTGTGTTTTGCTGCAAAATAATAATCATTAAATAAGTCTTGCTTTTTTCTGTTACTGCAGTGGACATGGTTTTACACTGCACTGCAAAAAAATGGTACTAAAGCATTCACCAAATTAAGCACCAGCGACTCATTGTTTTAAAACGCACAAAAACCTCCCGCTACGTCCCACTGACCAAATGAAAACCATGGACTTTAAGACTTAAAGTTTATTTATTGCAATTACAAAGTTAAAAAGTTCAGTGAGTCAAAAGCAAACACCTCATTCACCAAACGGTAAGACGCACACAGACACACACAGATGCACACAGACACACACAGACACACACAGATGCACACAGACACACACACACGCACAGACACACATAGATGCACACAGACACACACAGATGCACATAGATGCACACAGACACACACAGACACACACAGATGCACACAGACACACACAGACGGACAGACACACACAGACGCACATAGATGCACACAGACACACACAGATGCACACAGACACACACAGACGGACAGACACACACAGACGCACATAGATGCACACAGACGGACAGAGACACACACAGACACGCACACAGACACACACAGACACACACAGACGCACAAACCAAAGAAACTGAGCACATTGACAGAAAAAACATGTGTGTATTTATAAAATGTTTAAAGTATTTTGGATATTTTCATTTTTCACACAGTTTTTAACACAATATTGTTACAAACACAGAAACTTAGAGTGAAAATAAATGTAAAAACCACAAATACAAACACATTTTGTGGAAGAAACGACGAGAATGTGCTTAATACACTGCAAAACATGAAGGATAATAAGTACAAAATTGCTCAAATTTGGCAAAACGTGGATTAAAGCTGCACTAACTGACTTTATTTTTGTATTCATCACTAAAATGCTATCCATGTCCATGCAGTGCTTTGGGATAAACGTCCTTTAGAAGAATAATTAGTGCAGATTTGTGCTGGCGTGACATTTTATTTTAGATCGACTTTTGATGAAACAAGGAAGAGAATGTGTTTCGGGTCGCAGATTGTGACCAATCACAGCGCACCACTAGCCCCCACTTTCGTGAGAAATCTACAGGTCCGTTAGCATAGACAGCTGAGTTAGCACAACAAGCGGCGGAGCTAACCTGAAACTTCGTGTCTTCATCACCGGTTACTGCTTACACAGCGAGACAGCTCCAAAATAAAGTTCCTCCGCACTTCCCGGTTCTATCGTTCTATGGTCACGGCATCCACGTGAAAATCCATATCCATGGTTTATCCATATTGGGAGACACTAGCTCCGTCCCAACAGTGGGTGTGTGTGGGGGGCAATAGCTTCGTGGGTGCGGGGAGGGGAGCAGAAAGAGAGAGGCCAGCGAGTCCGCGGCTTCAAAATCCCAAAGTCAGTTAGTGCAGCTTTAATGTCTCTCTTGGAATGAGAAAAAAAGCAAGTTTTTAAAATCAGACTAAATGACTTTGTCCCAGTGGAGAATCTGTTTTTAACACAGTCAGAATGTGTCAGATTAAGATAAAAACCACTCGATTCAAGCAAAAATGTATAACCTCAAAACGTATCACTTTTTTGCAGTGTAGGCTGTTTGCACTGAACTCATTGACTGCAGCCATTTTTGATTTTCAAGACCCACAGAAAATTGTGTGCTGTGATTTATTATGTGAAATGTAGATTCTGAAAGACTGAAAGTAGATAGTCCCTTCTTTCATCAGCAAAAATACATTTACAGATTACAGAAATCACCATTTTTAGGCAAATACGTCAAATACAGGCAGTCGATGAGTTAAGTGTAGTTATACCTGGACAAAAAGCACTTTCTTTCATAATCCGCTGGTGCAGGGTTACATACAGGTACTTTATAATCCAATCAATGTAAATATATATAGAGAGAGGTCGCCTTAAAAAATAGAGAATACAAACATTTTAAAAAATATATCGGTTTTAGTGTGTTTTTTTTTGGATTGTAGGTTTTTGACCAGTTTGAAGCAGCTCCAATCAACATCTTGTTTAGTCTCCGCCCAGTTCCACATAAGCTGCTATCTCCTCTGCCTCACCCTCCCCAGAGATAAAACTATTCACCAGAACCATCAAGACCATGGTCCTTTAACCCCAGAGGTCACGTGACCCGCTTCAGACGACATTGTAGAAACCCATTTGGAGATTATTCATGTTTTGTTCAGAGTTTGTTCAAAAAGTGGAGAGGGCGGTTCTTTCTGATGAACATTGGGAAATCCTCCGTCATATCTTTAAGAAGAAATCTCGTAAAAAAAACATGATAAAACTAACTTCTAATTACACGTCGGCTAAACATTTCTTATGGATTTAAATGTTATGGTTGTTTTCATGAGAGAATTAGTAATGGAAAACATGTCATATTACCATCAACGCTGCTATTTAATATAATTATTTAAAATCATCTCACTGGAAATGGTCTTCCCCGGGGCCGTATCTTTGGGTGAAACTATTTGGTAATATTCATGGGGGAATGGAAGGGAGAAATTGCACAAAATGCTTTAAAAAAAATGATTAAAAGTGTTGAAAACTGAAAGAATATAGAAATAAAATGCAAATAACTCTTCTGCTCGTACATTTGCATCGTCCATTTCTGTGTTGATAAAAATATGACAATTTAATACTGATTTTTTAACAGTTCGGCAAAATACAAGGAATTTTCAAAGCTGGCAACTTTCCACGAGAATTTATGAGAATTTAAGGGAAAAAATGGGAATAAAAGTCTTCTGTTGTTTAAATATTGTTGTGTAATATATTATACATGTTTCTTTTTAGTCATAAAACGCTTTTTCCCTAAACCAGTTCAAAATCAAACAGATCAAACCCATCCCTCGCTCCCGGGACAAAAAGACTTCATTAATAAAAAGACATCGGCCACACTTTAGCTTAGCCTTCATTAATTAACAGCTAATTTAGTGCTAATAATAATAATAATAACAATGCATTGGTTTTATATAGTGCTTTTCATCATGATTCATTCACTCTAAACACAGTGAGAAACTACTACTGTAGCCACATCTGCCCTGGGGCACACAGACAGAGGCGTGGCAACCGGTCTGTGCCGTCATCAATGTGTCAGATTAAGATAAAAAACAAATTAGCACTTCATTAGCTGTTGATTAACGAGGGCTAATCTAGAGCGTTAGCTAAAAAACAGAAGGCTAAGAGTTACAAAATGTTGCATGGTCTTTTGTCCTTGAAGGGGTTAATGGAGTCTGGGATCCCGGTGAGGAGGGGGTCTTTACGGCCTTCAGTACAGCAGTAGGTCATGAGATCTGAGCAGGCTTTGGACACCTGCGAAACACACACACACACACACAGACACACACACACAGACACACACTTAGACACCTCCTGACACACACTTAGACACCTCCTGACACACACACTTAGACAAGCTGTTTTGTGTTTTATTTTGTTTTAGAAAGTTGTGCGGGTAGCGTAATTACATGTTTTTACCCCAAGGCAAGTTTATTTTGTATAGCACAGTTCATACACGAGGCAAAAGTAAGAAATGAGAACAAGAGTCAAATCATAAAATGATAACATTGAATTAAGTAGTGCTAAAATATACTGTACAATCCTACAGTTGTATGCACAGCTAATAGAACTGTTTTTATCTGGATTTGAATATTGTGAGAGAAGAAGTGATTTTTAGGAATGTACTTGTTTATCATTTGGCTATGGTATCTGTTTTTGTTTACATTATGCTTTATTAAATACTATGCGGCTAATGCTCTGGATGCTTTCGTGCTCAGACATTGACGAGTGCCGAGAGATCCCTGGGGTGTGTGAGAACGGTTTGTGTGCATCAACATGATTCGCGCTTACGGTGCGAGTGTCCGGTGGTCATCTACAACGACAATGCTCATCTGTGAAGGTCACCTAAGGCAACAACAGATTATGAACACATTTTGAAGTTGCAACACTGGAATTTCCCCCTTTGTGGAACCAGTGAAGTTCTGTGCTCTTGGGGTTTTCAGATGTGTTTTTTTATTATTGCATTGCTAACTTTTTTGCTTTTATTCACTTACAGATAATTTTTTGGCGTTACTTTTTGCAAGTCAGCCACCACTGAAACTTTACTATCGTTGTCTGTAAATACATAACTTGGGAGCAACCATAGTCTGGCATATATATCTATTTATTTTTTTTTTTTTTATTTCCCAATTTTATCTTGAACCTTTTTTTGAATCTAGCAACTGTTCAAGGCTACTGACTGTGCGGCCCTTATAGAAACTAAATAAAAATTAGAAGATTAAAATGCAACGATTAAAACCTGCAACTCACACAAAAAACCATGCAATAGATCTAAAAGTATAAGAAAATTCGTTGTCTTCTGTTTTTCACCTTCTCCATTATTGCTTCTCAGACATTGACAGTGCCTGAAGGGCCAGTGTCGTCAGCAGAACGCCAAGCGTGTCTCAACATGCCGCAGTACAGTGTCGTGGCTGGAAATTTTTGCTTTGGATGTTCTTAGTGGCAAAGCCGGGTAAAATTCCGCTTCACCTCCACGGGACAGTGTCCTGGTTGGAGTGCACACTGTCTTACGCTCTTTAGCCTTTCCATGTAGTGACCATCATTGAATTTTACTGTGAAATTCTATTATGTATGATAATATTGTACTTAAAAACAGGGCCTTATAAACCACTGCATTAACTTCATTGGACTGCCATTTGCGCATTTGCATGAGGACTGGTATACTATCAAACTTCCTTTTCCCCTCGGGATTAAGGGACAACCAAAATAGCAGAACCCACTTATTTTGCTGATCCAGACAATCCAGTTTTTCAGAATCTGTTATCATTATTTCACATAGCATAGCCCAATCTATTCTGTGGGTCTTGAAAATCAGTGAAAATCATCAAAAAGAGTGCAAGTGAAGAGTTATAGCTTGAATGAAATCTTCTATTTCTCTTCACTTTTCTCAGGACCGAAACGAATGCAACGAGACCGGAAGGTCTGTGTACCCCGGCCAGTTGAGAGACACTCTGGGACGTTACCCCCGCTTGCGTTCTGCCCCACGGCTTCAAGACCACCAGGGACCAGTCCATGTGTGTGGGAGAGTCCGACGGCTATTAAGTTGTCGTGTTTTCCTGGACATTTTTGTTATTATGTGACATAATATTTAAGAAGCAAATGTTGTCCCTCAGACATGGACGAGTGACGAGAGGACAGCCGTGCGGGAATGCACCTGTAAAAACAACGTGGATCGTACAAACTGTCTGTGTGTACCCCGGCTTCGTCCTCAACTCCACACACAGCGAGTGTGTTGGTATTTGTGCGGTTTTTTATTAGGAGGAAACAGAAGGCCTGCTTTTTTAATTGCTGGTCAATGGGAAACTGCGATTGTACTAGGGGAGGAATAGGCAAGGAAAAAGTAGTCATTTGGACATCTAAACTCTTGTTGAGGGTTCGTTATGGATCTTTCTTGGACAAATACGTTTCGTGGGTTTCAAAATAATTGTATTACCTCATTCAACGTGAGTTTTTGTCTCACCCAAACAACAGCAGTCGTCTGAGGCCCTATACAAAGCTGTTGATTCTCCCAAAAAAACAGATCAGTGAATCATAACGAAAGGCAAAAATAAACAAAACACAGGAGTCATTTTCACCAAGTCCCATTTGGGGTCGTGGTTGGTTCAAAGGGTTGATTGTAAAAAAAGAATTTATAATTCCTAGTTTTGTATCAGAAGGTTACAGGTGAGTTCTGAATATTATAGTATATCGAATTGATTTGTATTGCTTGAAGTTTGTTACATTACTTCTTCAGTAAAGAGTAAACCCATAAGTTTCAACTTAACTCAAATGTATTTATTGACTTATCTCAGAACCTTTTTCATTCAAGTGATCTGATGAGGAAACAGTCCAGCAAATATATAGTATAGCCCATATTTTGCTTCATGTTTTGTTTTTGAGCTTGGTGTTGGAGGGATTGGACGTTACACAACATGTTTTTCACGGAGCGTTTTACCACGTGTTCTCTATCTCAGGACGTGGACGAGTGCTCGACTCAGAGATGCTGTGTCGAAAGGTCAGATGCAACGAACCCAGTGGGAGGATACTTCTGCTCTGCACCGTGGATTCGACTCAGTCCGGACCAGCCGGGCGTGCTCCGGTACCGAGAAACTACACACAAGGACTCACTGCTGTGATTCTGAGACATGTTTTGCATTTAACACTAGAACTCCTAGAGCCTGTCAATGTGACGGCTTTTAGTTTAGGTGCAGGTTCTGGTCCTGAGTCAGCTTGGTTTCCTCAGAGAAAAGAAGTGGTAGTTACCTAGACAACACATGTTGCATTTAGCTTTTCTACAAACTGGTAGACGGTGAATTTTATTTATCAGTTTGAGCATTTTTAAAGTTCTAGATAAATGTGATTTATTAATTTTTTTCATTAGAGCCGTCAAAGTTACTTCTTGGGAGTTTCTCGTAGTTATGAATTCTGGGGGTCCGGTGTTAGGGATGATATATATTCAACTATTGCTTTGTAACACCCACACATCAGTCCTAGTAAGAGCCATTCAATAGTTTTTCAGGATTGAGAGTCAGTCAGTTGTACACACCGGGAAAAAGATGAAGAACTAGCAGAGTCTTCAGATTCACTTTTATTATCCCATTTTGGACAATTCAAATGAGCCTGGCATATGTGTAATAAACCAATATGTTGGAATTGCCTTTAAGTGATGGGTATGGAGTTGTTCCTGTGTCAAGCTTCAATGAGTGTCTGGTGAAACCTGGGGACCTGCGGTCTGGGACCTGCTGCAACCTGGACGGCTCGTACAGGTGCATCTGTCCCGGGATATCCTCCACGAGGAAACTGCGAAGGTACCAACAAGACATGTTCTCCCTCCAGACTCTGAATGTAGGCAACCCGACCTCCCGCTCTGTTCAATGACATGGATTCGGCTGACAAATAAGTCTTTCAATTATATTGTTGTGAAATAAAAAATAATTAATACATCCAAAAAACATCAGACAGACAGTGATACAGCAATACCGTGTGTTGTGACAAATAAAGCGTCCGATATACGTTACTTGAAATGTCGCCTCTGTATGATAACCACATGGTCTAGTTCACAAAAAGGTTATTATTCTTCCAAATGTTGCTTAATAACTTGGCAAACAGTTTGTGTAGTCACTGTTGAGCAAATGTATCAAGCTGTAAATTATTACCTGCAACTGGTCTTTGCCGGGGTTTTAGGAGGTGAATGTATATTGGGTAGTCTGCATTGTTGGTGGCATTACTTTTGTGTTTTTGTCTTTTATGGTTGTATACACGGTTAGAAAGGGTCGCCCAAATTCCTTGTATCCAACCCCAAAACTGGACCAGCGTATAACTGTGTCTGATTGGCCAGTATCAGAAAGGAGACAGATCTTCAAGTTCTGTATTCACTTTTTATTCCCTTTTCTAAGGACCTTTCTGGGTCACATGAGGGTGGCAATCAGGCTGCCACCCAATGGACACTGTTCCTCCTGCAGGTGGTTGGTCTGTCAGCAACAAGACGGCTTGGTCTACAGCTAGGCCAGCAGATGTTCGGTGGTTAGTAGAGTTGGGCGACTGGGGCTGCGTACACTGAGACACCGTGGCCCCTTGTTATCAATGGTCATTCCAAAAAATTTATGTCCCCCCATAGATAATTTACTGTATGATTTTATTACACGAGGTGATGGTTGCTGCTTAACTACTAAATCTAGGTGTGTTTGTCAGTACAAAAAAGTACAAAAAAAATATCAGATAAATCCTACTCTTTGGACCTAATGTACTGGGGTCTGTTGCTGTCCTAATGGAAATATCCACGCCCAGATGCAAACAAACTTACTTTGGACATCACTTTGTCGAATATCGAGAGCAGGCAGATTTTGACATAGCAGAGCACATTTTGCCTTGGTGATTTCTTTCAGTTTTTCCAACTGTCTTTACAAAGTCATTTTACTGTTTATGTGTAGATGTTCCAGGACATGGCTAATCTTCACCAACGGAAGAAAATGTACGAAAAGATGAGGACAGAGATTGGAAGCATGTTTAGTCGATGGTTCACAGATTCACCATTGTTTGTGTGGTACAAGACAAAATTATGGCTCCCTTCAGCATCTGTCACGGGACCAAAAGATCAGTTGGAAAAGTGCTGACTTATTCGGTGCAATGACCAGTCAGTTTTTAACATTACAGTAATTAAAACCATACCCTGCTGTATGCTACATTTATTCCACTTTCTCATACTGTCCACATTAATATAAAATCACACATGCCGTTCCTTTCTCAGCTTATTGTCTCGCTTGTAATTCTCCTTGGTTTCTCCTGTGGGTTTGGGTAGCGCCCCTCTGTCTCTCTCGTGGGGCCGGCCCGGAGCTCTTAGGTGTTGATTCCTGATGAAGAGATTTTCACATTCCAGGTCTTGAAACCGGGAGGGCCGCTGGACCACTTTATTAGGACAATGTTTACAAGAGGGGCCATAACATCCACCTCAGGTGCTTCGTTAGTCATCGAGAAAGCAGCTCACCTAAATAAACATTGAATAGTCGATCCATTTAAAACACTCAGAAAAAACAGACTTCTCTCACATTTTGTTGTTGCATTCATTGGAAATCTTGATTATTGTATGGTCTAAATTCATTTACTCTTCTTTATTAGTGGATGAAGATAGGAATTTGTGTATAGCTCGAAATTTGAACAACAGTGTCTTCTCAATTCACCCAATCACAAAACCTTGGGAGCGAATGGACCCTATCACAAATGTCATTAATTGTTCGAATCATCCTGGCCTTAGACCTCCTGCATCGAAGAGGGTCCCGTGTATTTTCGTTCAATAGTTTTTCACTTAAAATTGATCAAAGTGACCCAAAGAGGAACAAAACAAAAAATGGTCCATGCTTCCCACTGACGCACAGGCACAAAATGTATTTTATCTGTTCTTTGAAAACACACCAGAAGTGTGTTCCTTCTAAAACCCTCATCTTTCCCTCGTGTCTCAGATATCGATGAGTTTCCCAGTCTCCAGCGGATGTGTCTGTTCGGGACCTGCTCCCAACACAGAAGGAGCTTCACTGCATCTGCCGCGAGGCTTCAAGCTGTCCTTCCTCCGGCCGCAGATGTCTTGGTAAGAAACACATTTTGAATTAGTATCATTTGAGACTATAATATTTGTTACTAATTTGTATATTCTGTGTGTGGTACTTTAAAACCCAAGTAGTAAACTAAACATACAATACAATATGTCAGGTTTTCAGATGCCAACGTTTAAAAAGAGGAGCCACCTCACTCAGCAATCAGCTCTGCCGCAACAGTGTTTAAAGCGTGATCACAGGGACCATTTTGCCTGCTGTGAGGTCAGCCCTATAACAGACTTTACCTTTCATGAGGCTTCTTTTCTATTGTTTATATTTTAACTTTTTAGGGAAGTCCAGTAACCAGTTTAGCTGTAGGCCTGTCCCTGGGCTCCTCTGTGTCCAAGCAAGAAAGCCAGTCCTGTGTTTTGTGTCCAAGCATTAGGCCAGTCCCCTGTGCTCCTCAGAGTCGGTAGGTTCATTTGGCACTAAATGTCACTAATATCTTTGGTGCTGAGGCCATGGAGATGACTTGTAACAATCAGATCTGCTTCAAAGTCTATCTCTGGCCACAGATGCCTTCCAGAGACCTAAGCACTGGACAAAACCCGCCCTGCATTGACCCTAAACTCATCATGGTTCCTATTTTGAAAGAGTGCTGTAAAAAATGCGTTTTATTCGAAGTGGTGAGTGTGCGGGAGACAGAGCAGCAGTGTACGCCTTCAGCTGGGACCGACAGAGGAGATGGATTTTCAGTTGCCCTTGTCTTGTGTTGTGTTGGTACTGGGCCTTTTGCCAAACGTTGGTGTCCGTGTTTGCCAGTTGTTAAGGGAGTTTCCGGCTAACTCTTCAGAAATGCCAGGACATTCACTTGAACTTTACGGCTTTCTCTCGTGAGCTCAGGTCAGTGAGTGGAGTGGGTTTGGGTGGAGAATGGACAACATGAGTTTAAGTGGGCAATAGCAAAACAAGTGTTAGTGATGGAGTGAGGGATATGTATGTCAAAGACTGTAGATATTTATATATTCCATGATTAAATTCAATAGTAGTGACTTACTTGGTTTCGTTGACGCATCATCAGTATTGAATTACACTATCACAATGCACATGAAGAAATGATTGCTTTATATATTAAAATGTTCATGCAATGTTAGTGTTAATATTCAATGTTTTGGGAAAATAAAACAATTGGCTCAATGCGGATAGACAACTTTTTATGACATAATATCCATAGCAAGCAGCAACGAACTCTTACAGTATAAAAAAGGAATAACATTGAAACTACTATAGAATGAATCAATGAGTACAATGTGCATCGTAAAAATAAAAAAATATGACATTTCAAATCATAATGTCCATCCCCACATTTTAACATTTAACTCAAACAAAGGTTGGATTAAAGATGTGGACCAACTCCCCCACACACTCATGCACATGAAAACTAGGGATAGAAATCACACTATTGGAACCTGTTTAGATCAAGAAATAATTAAGGATTTTTTTTCAGTTATTACATACTTGTTCAAGGGTTTCTTTTTGCGTGAAAAGTTACGCACTCAGCTTTAGTATCACTATTTCGTTCCAAGCTGTAGGTTGGACAATACTAAACTCAGAGAAGTATTCCTTAAGATAAATATCATGTTTCGATTTCCAGTTTTCAACTTTTCTGCGATGAGAAGTATTTTAGCTTTTTGATCCGGTCATTGTACATACATACATCCACATTTGCCAAACTTCCCAACACGTTGTAAGCTACCTCTCTAAACCACTTCCCCGTAGTCGCTCTGAAGTCCACACAGTTCAAATGGAGACTTGTTCGAGCTTTGAGCTATTTTTGTGAGACAGAAAGTCCAACCACACTGAGCTGTGGGTGATCAGTTATGGAGTGAGCTGTTACCTTCACCAGACCACCGCCGACCAGCTGAGCAAAGGGGGCCCATTCAACTACTCTAAAATCCTGACAAATCAAACTTTTTATAGGCGCTCTGAATATGCGAGACCGGCTGGTTTTCCCTGCGCAGGCCCAGGTGCGATCGCTAAAGCCAGGTGCAGGAGCAACCGTAAGAAGGTATGCTGATTTGACTGTGTTTTAAGTGAAGGCTATTCTTCCACATGTGGTCATCTTATTGCACCGAAAAAGACTTTTAAGCAGCAAAAAAAAAGCCTGTCGCATAGCGCGCAGAATAATTACATTGACACACTTTGTTACTGAACAGCAAATACTTAATAATTATTTACATTTAGAAAATGTTGGAAGTGACTGTGATTTCATTTGGGGTGTGGGAGCCATTTCTTGGTTTTCCTGGAATTTTTGCTGAAAGTGTTTTCTCAATGCGATTGTTTATGATGTCATGCCCAAAAGTTACGAGAAGCAAGACGTGATGCATAATTTTTTAATATTGTTGGAGAAAGCCAAAGTTACCACTAGACGAAGGAGTTTATTGAGCTGGAAGTCCCCATCTCCCCCGTATTGAAATTTGATAAGGATGTCTTGCTTTTCAGCAGACTCGCGGAAGATTAAATTTACTCTTCGTGGCTCAATGTAATTTTTAAAAATCTGGCAACCCTTTTTTTGAGATCTTCAGACATAAGGCAGCACCTACCCCACTAACAGGCTTGTATGTGGTGTATGTGTACATATATGTATATAGGTAAAATGTATATTATTGTTTAGTGGTCGTCTATATATGTGTTACACATTTGTATGTCTCTGTGCTACTGGAAAAATCGACTTGTGACGTGTGTGGGGTATTTCAACTTTTAAAATATGTTTTTATTTAGTTTTGTTTTGTTTTGCTCTTGTTGGTATGGTCTGTTGTGTTTAAAAAGAGCCCTTCATTTTGCATAAACCTTTTTGTGGAAACTTTTGGAAAAAACCCAATTAAAATAGGTTTGAAAAAAAAAAAAAAAAAAAAGCCAACGTACAACACAGAAAGACATATAGTAACAAAACCTCATATGAGCCATTGGTCCATAGGGCGCAGGGATGACTGATGTCAAATGTCTTAAATATCCCTGGAATCTCATGAGACAGAGCTTTAGATCACGCCTGGGCTGTAGAACCTGTTTAAGTCTCTTATGTAAGGTAGAGCGTGACAAATAGTTACTAAATGAGTATGACACCTATTTGTATAATTGATTCGTCACAAATCATTGATTAACTTCGTTTCACCCTCTTTTTCTCCCGTACCTTGAAGTTTTGCTCAATCCTTTAGTTATTTTCAAATAACCGTGTCCTGCTGTGTTCCTTCAGACCGTGCGCCGTGAACTACTGCAATACACGAAGTTTGCAAACCAGTCGCCTGCACGGCTCCGATAGGCCCAGTAAACCCGTCGAAGGCCGAAAGCTGCTTGCACGCGATGCGGCAGGGTCTGTGGGCAACCGTGCGAGCTGTGATGCCACTAACGCCGACAAGGTAAAAGACCCATTGTTTGAGGGACGTGTTTTAACAGAAGGAAAACACATCACCTCTGTTTCGTGTTCCTCCATGGTACCTGTGTGTTTAAAGAGCGACTAAACACCAAATCTTGACTTATTTAAACCTTAATACTGCATAAGTATGTTTATTGTAGTGCTGTTCTACATATCCTGGTCATTTTTTTGACATTTTAGTTAAATTAGATAACAACTCACTTTTGAGCCAAAAAACGCTGTTGTGGTGCCTCTCAACTTTTTGGTGTCCTAATTTGAATTTGGTTCTGGCTCTCTATTGACCTCTGAAGTTCTCTATGACATCAGTTGTTTGGTGTGCCGTACGAGAGTCTGTCAGAGCAGTGATGTGTGAACCCAATCAACTCTCACACCCGCCCCCAGCTGCAGTTTGGCGTATTCTGGCGCCATCTAGTGGATTACAAATTGAAGATTAATGGTCATTTGAGCTTATTGAGTTTGATTATGTACAGGGTGTGTCGCTTTACACTTATCGTAGTGTGTAAACAAGGGTTGAATGAGGACTTTCTGGTCTGTAACTATTGCTTTAAGCAGCAATGACAACAGTCTGTTTTTTTTTGTTGACAACGTGAGCTGTCAATCACAGCCCAGACCACGACCCAACTCTAAAGCCCCCCTTCTAGTCCTTGTCCTCCAGGCAACGCCCTTTTGTCGAGAACATTTTCAAATCTTCATCGTGGGCGGAGTAAGGGTGGGCACAGGTGTTTAGTACGTCTTTAAACAACACAGGGAGCCAGTGGAGGAACTCTGAAACAGAGGTGATGTGTTCCCTTCTGTTTAAAAAACACGTCTCTCAACACATTGGGTCTTTACCTTTGTCGGCTTTCGTGGGCAAACAGCTCGCACGGGTTGCCCCAGCCTGACCGGCCATCTCGGTGCGCAGCATTCGGCCTTCGACTTGATCTGGCCTTCGGAGCCGTGCAGGCGTACTGTTTTTCAAACTTCGTGTTAGCAGTAGTTCACGCGGCAGTCTGAGGAACACAGCAGGACACGGTTATATGAAACTAACTAAAGGATTGATCAAAACTTCAAATGTACGGTGAGAAAAAGAGGTGAAAAGAAGTTAATCAATTATTTTGTGACTAATCAATAATACAACTAGGTTTCAACTCATTTAGTAACTAATTTTTGAACCTAATAGACTTAAACTGGTTCGTACAGCCTCAGTCTTGGATCTAAGCTTCTGTCTCAGTGATGATCCAGTTATTTAAGGGAAATTAGGACATCAGTCATTCTGCTCCCTATGGACCAAGGTCTATGAGTTTGTTACTATTATGGTTACTTTCTGTGTACTTTGCCTTTTTTTTATTTATTTTTTCAAACCTATTTTATTGGGTTTTCAAAAGTTTTCACACAAAGGTTATGCAGAAAGTATGCTTTTTTAAAAACAACAGACCTACCAAACAAGACAAAACACAACAAAAACTTAAATAAAAAACATATTTTAAAGTTGAAATAGCCCCTCACACGTCACAGTCGGATTTCAGTACGCAACAGAGACATAAAATGTGTTATAACACATATATAGGACGTGCCACTAAACAATAATTATTACATTTTACCTCTTTACATATATGTACACTTCAGGCCCATACAAGCCCTATTTAAGTGTGGTATTTGCGGGTCCTTAAGTCTGAATTATATCAAAAAGGGTTGCCAGATTTTTAAAAATTACATGTGGAGCTCGAAGAGTACATTTTATCTTCTGCGTCTGCTGAAAAGCAACGACATGCCTTTATCCAAATTTACAATCTCGGGGGAGATGGGGGTCTTCCAGCTCAATAATCAAAAAAGAGAGAAGTGAGTGCTTATGGGGATAAAAAAATGTAGGTCAGGTGCACGTGTCTATATGTACCTATGCTCCTCTCCCATTGTATTTTACCTGTCTATATGTACCTGTGCTCCTCTCCCATTGTGTTTTACCCGTGTCTATATGTACCTGTGCTCATCTCCCATTGTGTTTCACCCGTGTCTATATGTACCTGTGCTCCTCTCCCCTTGTGTTTCACCCGTGTCTATATGTACCTGTGCTCATCTCCCATTGTGTTTCACCCGTGTCTATATGTACCTGTGCTCCTATCCCATTGTGTTTCACCCGTGTCTATATGTACCTGTGCTCCTATCCCATTGTGTTTCACCCGTGTCTATATGTACCTGTGCTCCTATCCCATTGTGTTTCACCTGTGTCTATATGTACCTGTGCTCCTCTCCCATTGTATTTAACCTGTCTGTATATGTACCTGTGCTCCTCTCTCATTGTATTTCACCTGTGTCTATATGTACCCGTGCTCCTCTCCCATTGTATTTCACCTGTGTCTATATGTACCTGTGCTCCTCTCTCATTGTATTTCACCTGTGTCTATATGTACCCGTGCTCCTCTCCCATTGTATTTCACCTGTGTCTATATGTACCTGTGCTCATCTCCCATTGTATTTCACCTCCGTCTATATGTACCTGTGCTACTCTCTCATTGTATTTCACCTGTCTGTATATACCTGTGCTCCTCTCCCATTGTATTTAACCTGTCTGTATATGTACCTGTGCTCCTCTCTCATTGTATTTCACCTGTGTCTATATGTACCCGTGCTCCTCTCCCATTGTATTTCACCTGTGTCTATATGTACCTGTGCTCCTCTCTCATTGTATTTCACCTGTGTCTATATGTACCCGTGCTCCTCTCCCATTGTATTTCACCTGTGTCTATATGTACCTGTGCTCATCTCCCATTGTATTTCACCTCCGTCTATATGTACCTGTGCTACTCTCTCATTGTATTTCACCTGTCTGTATGTACCTGTGCTCCTCTCCCATTGTATTTCACCTGTCTGTATATGTACCTGTGCTACTCTCCCATTGTATTTCACCTGTCTGTATATGTACCTGTGCTCCTCTCCCATTGTATTTAACCTGTCTGTATATGTACCTGTGCTCCTCTCTCATTGTATTTCACCTGTGTCTATATGTACCCGTGCTCCTCTCCCATTGTATTTCACCTGTGTCTATATGTACCTGTGCTCCTCTCTCATTGTATTTCACCTGTGTCTATATGTACCTGTGCTACTCTCTCATTGTATTTCACCTGTCTGTATGTACCTGTGCTCCTCTCCCATTGTATTTCACCTCCGTCTGTATGTACCTGTGCTACTCTCTCATTGTATTTCACCTGTCTGTATGTACCTGTGCTCCTCTCCCATTGTATTTCACCTGTCTGTATATGTACCTGTGCTACTCTCCCATTGTATTTCACCTGTCTGTATATGTACCTGTGCTCCTCTCCCATTGTATTTCACCTGTCTGTATATGTACCTGTGCTCCTCTCCCATTGTTTTTCACCTGTCTGTATATGTACCTGTGCTCCTCTCCACTTCTTGCTGGTCCCTTGCCTTTGTTTGCCTGTTTTTTTCTGGTCCCTGTGTTTCCTTTGGATTTTTGAGTTGTTTTTTGGGCGTGGGCGGCACGGTGGCTGAGTGGATAGCACTCTCGCCTCTCAGCAAGAAGGTCCTGGGTTCGAATCCCGGCCGGACCAGGGCCTTTCTGAGTGGAGTTTGCATGTTCTCCCCGTGTCTGCGTAGGTTTCCTCCGGGTACTCCGGTTTCCCCTACCACTAAAAATATGTACAGTAGGTCTGGCATGCGCCTCCTGTTCGGCGACCCCGCCATCTCTGTGTGGAGTGAGAGGACAAGTGCCCAAAAAATAGCAATTGTAAACCGCTTTGTGACTCTGGTCTGTGAAAGGCGGTAAATAAAGCTTACTTACTTACTTTTTTTCCTGGACTTTGATTGACAGGCCTCCTCTCTGACAATGTTTAAAACCAGGTTAAAAACACGTTTAGCTGTGCAACAGCTGAGGGATTTTATATTTTTATCTTTCTTTTTAATATATTGTGATTATTTGTGCTATACAAATAACCTGGCCTTGCCTAATTGTCTTCATTAAATCTGTGTTTGTGTATTTTAGGTCCTTCCTTCATCCCAACACATGACAAAAGGTTTCTCTCTTTTCCTTTTTGGACCACTAAGTTGTTGTTGTATAAATATAATACACTAAAATAATCAATATTTAAGACCAAAGCTGTTTAGTTTAGTTTAGTTTATGTGAGGACAATGTGCAGTTACATTAGATTGAAGGTCCATATTTAGCACCACACTACTTTCCATCTGTAGTCTTTGACAATGCAGTCATACGAGAAGCTATGAGGACGTTTTTAGCCCCTTCTATTATATTCTCTGTTATTATCGGGTGTTACAGCTCGGAGCTGAAGGACCCTCGTGCTCGGGGGATTCTCGTGGTACTCCAGGCTAAATGAGACTGACTTCACTTGGGCTACCCAGAAAAAAGTCCCATAGAACTCACTGTAAACTAAAACAACTCAACCTCAGCTGACAGAGAACCTAAAGCTTTCATTTTAGTGTCTCTTGTCATCCTGAACTTTTTTTCTTCTTAAAAAAACCTTTGGTTTTCATTAAATCCACAAACTCTGCTTGTTTGTTCCCGTCTCCAACTCCCGCTCAAGCTCCGCTCTGATCAGCAGCGCTGATTAGTCAGAGCGTGGCCGAGTCCCTCTGTGAACGTACACGAGAGCCACGCACAAGTATTTGGCGCAAGGCATCATGGGAGCTCGTCCACTGCGCAGAACCGGGAGGACCAGACGATGCCCAAATATGGGCGAGTACTGCTAATCTCTGAGCACCAGCCAATGTTTTGAATAGGACGCCACCGTGGCTTGATTCTGCTCCACTGTACCCCCTGGCACCCACCCCGGTCACAAACACTCATACTAAAGTAAATTTTTGCTCAATTTATTCTTGTATTTCCCTAAATCACAACGGCATCATCTCAGAGACTTAACAAAACTATTGAAATCACCAACACAGATCAGAGAATCAACAGTTAAGACACAAAAGAGAACATGTTGATAAATGTCATACATGTTGTAGAATGTTAAAGTGTCCTGGATCACCACAGTCCTTCTGTTGGACACTAACTGTCCAACAGAACCTTCTGCATCGGCAAGGAAAAACTCATAAAAACCCAGTGGGAAAAAGTGAGAAACCTCGGGGAGACCCACATTTTGAGAAAGGGATCCGCTCCACACGGACGGACGGGCTTTAGATCCAGGACCTAAGCTAAAGAAGCGGCCACAAAACATGGACAGGTCCGGTGCAGGAGTGAATCGGTCCCAGGCGGGTCGGGCAGGGCAGTCCACAGGTATAGAAGGAGAGGACCGGCTCAGAGGTCCCTTTGTCGCACCATGAAACAAAAAACGAGACAACGGGTGAATAGCAATGAACGAATCCTAATAATGCAGACAGATGAGGTAGGAAGGAGGAGAAGATCATGCTCAAGTTTGGGCCAAACTTCTCCAGCAAACTGAGGTTTGTTTTTTATGGTGCAAAAGTATCTGGTCTTAAGAGTGTCCTTAAAAACAGTGATGTTGATGTTATGTGTCATATCTATATCTTTTACTACACATAGTTAGAGAGTGGATAATGGATTCTTAATTCAGTCAAAACACTCACTGTGTCATTTGCTTAAAGCTAGGGTTGAAACTGGGTCTTGTTTTACATTAAAAAAAAATTGTCCACTCACCTTTGGCCCTCCGCGGGCGGTTATATCCCTCTCTAAGCTCGGGTCCTCTACCAGAGGCCTGAGAGCTTGAGGTGAGTCTGCGTAGTCTCTTTGCTGTTCCTAGCACTGCACATTTCTGGACCGAGATGTCCGAGGTTGTTCCAGGGATCCGCTGTAACCTCTTCTAGCTTCGGGGTCACTGCCCCGAGTGCACCATCACCACAGGCACTACTGTCACCTTTTACCCTCCAGGCCCTCTCCAGCTCCTCTCTGAGACCTTGGTATTTCTCAAGCTTTTCATGTATATATATATATATATATATATATAATACACAGTACAGCAATACAAACTGTTCTTGGCGATAGACAGCTACCGACTCGACTTGGTAGCTTTCTTCGTTTCCATAGCCGCTCCGTTTATGCTTAAAACAGTTTAGCTGTTTTTAGACCTTTCTGAACCACACAGACACACGTTCGGCATATGACCAATACTTTTGCATTTGATTGAAGAAAAAACACCTACCATTTCTCTCAACCTCAACATCTGGAGCTGGGACAAAACAGCATCTCTCCCATTGTTTTCGCACTGTGATGATCCGCCAATCCTCAGCACAACCTCCGCAAACACCTTCTGGTTTCAGGAGGCACCATCGAGCTCCTGCGGGAGTTTGTCCTCTCCGACCAAACCGAGGAAGGAGTTGACCTTATCCACTGACCGGATAGCGGCTATTGTCAACTGAAGAAGGAGTTGACCTTAGCCTCTACTTGGTCGTGGGTAAGGTCAAGTGTAAGGAGTTTACCTTAGCCACTACCCGGTAGCGGCTAATGTCAACTGAAGAAGGAGTTGACCTTAGCCACGGGGGGGGGGGGGGGGGGGGGGGGGGGGGGGGGGGGGGGGGGGGGGGGGGGACCCGGTCGCGGTTAAGGTCAACTGAAGAAGGAGTTGACCTTAGTCACTACTCGGTAGTGGCTAATGTCAACTGAAGAAGGAGTTGACCTTAGCCACGACCCGGTCGCGGTTAAGGTCAACTGAAGAACGAGTTGACCTTAGTCACTACTCGGTAGCGTCTAAGATCAAGTGAGGAAGGAGTTGACCTTAGTCACTACTCGGTAGCGGCTAAGATCAAGTGAGGAAGGAGTGACCTAGTCACTACTCGGTAGCGGCTAAATTTCAACTGAAGAAGGAGTTTGACCTTAGCCTCTACTCGTAGCGGCTAAGATCAAGTGAGGAAGGAGTAGACCTTAGCCACGACCCGGTCGCGGTTAAGGTCAAGTGAAGAAGATTACCTTAGCCACTACCCGGTAAGCGGCTAAGGTCAACTGAAGAAGGAGTTGACCTTTGCCGCTACTCGGTAGCGGCTAATTTCAACTGAAGAAGGAGTTGACCTTAGCCACTACCCGGTCGCGGTTAAGGTCATGTGAAGGAGTTTACCTTAGTGCCACTACTCGGTAGCGGCTAATGTCAACAGAAGAAGGAGTTGACCTTAGCCGCTACTTGATAGTGCTAAGATCAAGTGAGGAAGGAGTTGACCTTAGCCACGACCCGGTCGCGGTTAAGGGCAAGTGAAGAAGGAGTTTACCTTAGCCACTACCCGGTAGCGGCTAAGGTCAACTGAAGAAGTGGGCCGGTGGAAACGTCCACAAACCGGGGAAAATCGAGTTGAGCCGGTGGAAATGGCCCTTTAGTTTACTCGTTTCTTTGTCCGATTCTTCCTTCCCAGGGCGGGCGGCGTACCTCCGCTCGCTCGGATTGAGGACGCCATGGTCTGTACAAGTTGAGGGCAAATGTCCGGTGCAAAGGCGAGGGATCCGAGACCCTCTGCATCTACTGTATGTGATGGTTGCTACTGGAGGACCCAATAGAACTCGGATCTGCCGCCTCTGGAACCAAATCCGGCTCTAAGGAGTCTGCCGGAGTTTGTGGCCTGGAGCTTGGACCCTCTCTCTTCTCTCCGTGAAAAAAGATTCCCTCAGATATGAAGCAGAGGTGGTCTCTGTCCCATATGTCAGTCCCAGGTGCGTCAGCGTACCTCCGCTCGCTTGGTCGAAGACGTCATGGTGTGTACAGGTCGAGGGCGTGTCCAGGCAAGATTTCCGACACCCTCTGTATTTACTGTAGTGGATGGTTGCTACTGAAGGACGCAATCGAACTCGGATCAGCCGCCTCCGGGCCCAAAGCCGGCTCTAAGGAGTCTGCTGGAGTTTGTGGCCTGGAGCTTGGACTCTCTCTCCTCTCTCCGGAAAAAAGTATCTTCAGAAATGAAGCAGAGGTGTTCACGGTGTAAATGCCGGCCCAAGCCATTGTGAAAAACACCATGATTAATCCCGAAGTGAACGGGGGGGGGGGGGGGGGGGGGGGGGGGGGTGGGGGGGCCCCAACAAGACAGGACACGGTCCCACTGAGTCTGAACTCTCCTCAGTGTTATAAACTCACCCGGAACTCCAAGTGATGTCACAAAGGGATGTTTCCATGACAACATGCTGATACAGCCTTCCGGAACAGGTTGGGTTTGACAACACAACTGGACTGTTACCATGGGAACCAGGCATCAATCAATCAATTTATTTATTTCAAACCAGCACAAACATTGTTTAGAACACTTTCTCTTGTAGAGCATAGCATAATTTGAAAAGGGGGTTGGAAGAAGCAAAAGCTTATTTTATATCCAACCACCTTTCACACATTCTTCACAACACAAGCACAATGCAAAAAAAACCACAAAAAAAAAATCACACAAAAAAACAAGTCAAAAGCAAATCTATATCCCCTTAAACTACCCCCAACGGTAACGTAAAGTCGAGCATATATTAATAGACATTACTGTAGATTACTACAGCTGGGACAACACATGACAGGACCAGACGTTACAAGATGGGACAAGACGGGACAAGACTCATTCACACACACAGACCACTGGCCCCCAAACGTTCACCGACCAACACACTACTGCTCAGGGAATCATGTTCCTTCTTCTGCGTATTTCTGCAGTAGTTCTTTTTTTGAAAGGTTTCCTTAAACATAGTCATGTTGGAGCATGATTTTAATGCTTCCTTGAAATCATTCCAGATCTTCACTCCTCTGGTAGAGATACACATAGATTTCAATGTTGTTCTCACTTTAGGGACACTATAATTGTTCGTTTGTTCTTCTAAGCCTGTGCCTGTGATGAGCTGTCTCTATCATGAAAAAAGGTTTTGTAAGTTGGCAGACAGTCCTGACCATTAACAGAGCAGTTTCTAAGGTTAACCAAGACATGCAGTTTAAGTTGTTTAGTTTCAATGAACAATTGCGGTTTGAAGGATGTCAGTAGTGGACATTTAGACACGATCTTTATGGCCTGTTTTTTGTTAAATAAATAGAGGCTGTCAAATGAGACTTGTAGCAGTTTCCCCACTTCAACACAGTAATTCAGATATGACATTATGAAAGAACTGATATAACAACATGAGAGCATTGGAATTAATTAAAGGACTTGTTCTCTTCATCATTCCCACACATTTTGCAACTTTCCTCCGCAAGCTACTAATGTGAGGTTTCCATGTCTATTCTGTCCCTCTATTTGTTTGTTTCCCTAATCAGTATTATTTTATAAAAAGCTGATGTAATTCTTTGTTTAAAGGACAACTCACCGCTCAAATCCACTTTTTTTTGCTGATAAACGGTATAAATGAGTGTCCAATAGTGTTGTCTACATATCCTGGTCATAATCTTGTCACTTTGGTGCAAATTATTTGAAAGTTAGACTTTCTGCCTAAATCCGTCTGTGAGGCGCCATCTGCTGGCGACCTGTATTACTACATATGAATGTTTGAATCTGGCGCCAACACTGGCACAGAAGTTGGACCTGACGTCTGCAAGTTGGACCTGACGTCAGCAGCCCCCCGCCCAGAGCAATGTAAACGGCCCAGTCTCGTTCACGCCCCCTTTAGTCCTCCAGGCTACGCCCATTTAGAGGAAGATTTGAACAGGAAATGTGAGTAACGTAAGCTCCGAGGAGCGGGGGTGAGAACCACTTTAACCATGGGAGTTTGCTATTTGGTTGCCATCTTTCTCTGTTTTATTTCAACTGCGTCTTGCGTTTTGTTTGTGGTGGAGCCACCTATGGGTGAATAGATGTAAGCAGCAGGCAGAGTCCTCCATTTTGAGTCCAGCACAGGAGGAGTTCACCCGTGAACCGCTCCTCTATGTGCCCTTTTACCACCCGTTTTTTCTGCTGTATCTTTGGCAAGACATAATCTGTGAGTGTTTTGAATGTTACAGAGCCTTTCAGTTGTGTAGAATCAACATGTATTTAGTTTGTTTACAATTCGTTTTTCCTGTGAGCCAGCTATGCTAATTTGCTATCAATGCCAGTGGTGATAATTACAGTATATGTTACTAATGTGTGTAAGACACATCTTTTTCTTTTGATTTTTGTACTAATACATGTTTTTTATGGTATTTTATTGTTACAGTTTTACAAAATAATAATAAGAAATGGAGAGACCACAAGTTTCCTGCAATTGTGTTAAGTTGATAAGGTTCACTAAGTGAAACACTCTCTTTAATCTGCGTCCCATTTCTTTTTGTTTAACATTCTCCTGCGTCTGTTAGACCACCAAGTCGTTAAGTGGTAAGCTCGCCTGATAAGGTTTAGAGTTAGTGATACTTTGCATATATTCATTGCAATGTACATGAGAAAAAGTGTGGGTCCCAGAATGGACCCTTGTGCGACATAACCACATTGTGATGTCTCTGAAAGCTGACCTGTTGTTCAAACTGTACAAGTTGCTTCCTATCAAGGTAACAAGATCACCAGACCAGTTTAGGCCGGCCCCCTTATGCCATGAGCCTCCATTTTATTTATTAGGATGTAATGGTCGATTGTGTCAAAAGCTTTTTGGAGGTCAATGAATATTCCTAGTACATAATGATTCTTTTCAATACCGTTTGTAATGTCCTCAATTGAGTCCATATTGAGCATCAGACCGTAAATTGCACTTCTGAATGAAACCACGTAGTCTTGTGTCAAACAATGTATCCAGTATTTTGGAAAACTGTGGCAGAAGAGAGATAGGCCGATGATTATTGAAGCAATGTTTATTTCCTGTTTTGAATATTGGGATGACTTTTGCCCTCTTCATTTGGGAGGGGAAGTCGCCAAGTTGGGATGATAAATTGCAGATGTGTGTGAATGGTTTAATAATCTCTGTTGCTAGATTTCGTACGGTTCTCATGTCAATGTCGTCTATATCTCGAGATGTTTTGTTCTTAAATGTTCTTATAAAGCTATGGACTTCCTCCTCATATGTGGGAGTGAGGAACTGTGATTTATTTCGAGCAATCCCTTCCCAATGTCACTTTCCGATGGTATCTTTTTTGCAAGGTCGGGGCCTATACTGACAAAGAACTTATTAAAACCATCCACAATACTCTTTTTATTAAGATAGTTTAATTCTCCACAATAAACCCTGGATAACACAGGCTGGAGCTTCGACCAATGACATCATTCAATATGTTCCAAATTGCTTTGATATCGTTTTTTTTAGTTATCAGTAAATTTGTATAATATTTTTTTATACTTATTCGCAATATACTGGTTAATTTGTTTTTTTATTTTTTATATCTCATTTCATTTTCTCTCGTTCTAACTCTAAGAAATTGCATATATAGGTATTTTTTCTATTTTGTGGTGAGAATCTGAATGAAGCCATTGTAAGCTGTGTTTACATCTGGCGAATGGTAGTTGGACTCCCAGGTTTGATTTGCCAATTCGTTTTTTAGAGCTATGATGACTCTATAATGGTGTTCACTTTGAGCAGGCGTGGTTATTATACAGTTTGTGTCATAGATCATGAAGAATCTTTTATTAACAGGCCACTGGTTTGGTTTTTGTCCAAAGTATTACAACATTTTTTGTCTATTAGGGAGGCGCTGTGTGAAGTGATTCTTGTTGGTTTTGTTATACAGTAAGTGGGTATAGGGCAGCCATGTCCAAACTCGGGCCTGGGGGCCAATTGCGGCCCTAAGTGTCATTTTTTTGTGGCCCTCTGCCTTGCAAAAGTACTCTTTGAGATCACAAACATAAGTTCACTGTGTCATCCATCCAACTTCAGCTCAGCCAATATAGACCTTGTACTAAAGCCCAGAACGTTGTTGACTTTTTTGGCACATACTGTACTGCCGTGGCTTTTGATTTTGTCAGTTACGTCAATGGTGCTACTGTAGCTTGTGAGTTGGTAAACCTTTGTCATTCAGCCAACTTCAGCTCTGTTATAGATCATCAAAGAGCTCAGAACAGTTTTTCAGTCGGTGAAATTGGCCCCTGGACCAGTCTGATGAACTAAAGTGGCACTCTTACTAAAAAGTTTGGGCACCCCTGGTATAGGCTCATTGAGAACATGGTATCTAGGAATTCTTCTGTCGGTTTATGCTTTTTAGGATTTAATAAATCAATATTAAAGTCTCCACAAATGACAACACATTTTTTACTTTTGTTCAAACATATTTTTTCCATCCATTTATTGAAAGCCTTAATGTCAGCTCCCGGTGCCCTGTAAACACAACTTACAATAATAGGTTTGGTTTTTGGAATAGTTAATTCCACCGTTATGCATTCAAAAAGTTCTTCGACCGCAAAAGACATGTTTTCTACAATAGAGCCATTGATATGGTTATATAACGCCACGCCAGTTTATGAATGTGTTGCCAGCTCCATCTCCTCGAGTCTGAATCTTTCATGAGCTCCTTCCTTAAGCCTGACTTTACTTACTGATGGTTCCGGCGACGCTGGGATCTATAGCGGACAAATGGAGCGGAGGAGGAGCATTGACTTGTGGGTAATCAGCAGCTCATTAGGAGTCTTCAGGAGGACGCTGATTAGGCGGGTGTGCCTTCTCCTGCTGGGCCTAACGAGAGCCACACATCAGCCAGAGAACCCCACAGAGACCAGGGGCGCCAGAACCATCTGTCTGACGCAAACCAGCGAGAGCGGAGAGGAGACACAGAGGCAACACGGAGGCAACGGGATCAAAAAGACGGAAGGCCAGGAGGAGAGGACCAGGAGGAGACCAGGTGAGGACCAGGAGGAGAGGGCCAGGAGGAGAGGGCCAAGAGGTGAGGACCAAGAGGAGAGGACCAGGAGGAGCCCAGGTGAGGACCAGGAGGAGAGGGCCAGGAGGAGAGGGCCAAGAGGTGAGGACCAAGAGGAGAGGACCAGGAGGAGACCAGAGAGAGACCAGAGAGAGGCCAGAGAGAGACCAGAGAGAGACCAGAGAGAGGACCAGAGAGAGGACCAGAGAGAGACCAGAGAGAGACCAGAGAGAGACCAGAGAGAGACCAGAGAGAGACCAGAGAGAGGACCAGAGAGAGACCAGAGAGAGGACCAGGAGAGAGAGGACCAGAGAGAGACCAGAGAGAGACCAGAGGAGAGGACCAGAGGAGAGACCAGAGAGAGGACCAGAGAGAGAC